ATAGGCATCCTATAGCCCCCCCAATCTGTACGGATGAAGCCTCCGGGCTCCAGGACCCATACAAGCACTTACTAATCTCAGAGGACACTGAACAACCAGTTTCTTCTGTATCAAATACACATAGGATGCATGAAGGTTAAAAAAAAAACTTCTGGCTTTACAACCAGTTTCATTCCTCCCATGTCTCTGTGAAGCCTCCCGGCTTCCAGACCCATTCCAGGAATTTTTAATCCCAGAGGACCCTGAACAACCAGTTTCTTCTCTATCAAATTAGCTTCCTATAGCCCCCAAACTGGTATGAACGAAGCCTCCAGGCTCCAGGACCTATGCAAGCACTTACTAATCCCAGAGGACACTAAACAAACATTTTCTACTGTACCAAACACATCCTGGAGCCCCTCATCCTGTATGGATGAAGCCTCAGAGCTCCAGGACTCTGACCAGGACTTATTAATCGCAGAGAACCCTGAACAACCAGTTTCTTCTGTATCAAATATGCATCCTGGAGCCCCTCAACCTGTATGGATGATGCCTCTGGGCTCCAGGACCCATACCAGCACTTACTAATCCCAGAGGACACTGAAAAACCAGTTTCGGCTGTACCACACACATCCTGGAGCCCCTTATCCTGTATGGATGAAGCCTCAGAGCTCCAGGACCCTGACCAGTTTTTATTTATTGCAGAGAACCCTAAACAACCAGTTTCTTCTGTATCAAATATGCATCCTGGAGCCCCTCAACCTGTATGGATGATGCCTCTGGGCTCCAGGACCCATACCAGCACTTACTAATCCCAGAGGACACTGAAAAACCAGTTTTGGTTGTACCACACATCTTGGAGCCCCTCAGCCTGTATAGATGAGAACCCTGGGTACCACTTCAACTTTCTCCTACCATGACCGGGTGTCATACTGTCACATAATAAATATATTTATGAACTATAGCTGGAGTTTGAGCAAATCAGTAAGGAATTGTTTCACAGAGAGGAAGGGATGGGGGGGGGAGGAAGAGTCGCCAATCCGCCAATAGTGTAGCACAGTTTTATTCAAATATACAAAATAAAAATGCCAAGTGTAGCACTGAGTGATTGTTGGGTGTTGGTTGAATTTTTTTCTCCTGTCTGAGATGCCACTGATGGAAACTGTCTCATCCCAAGGTGGCATAGAAATTCTGGGACCATAAAACTAAACCGATTGTGAGATCACCCCACAATGACTTGGAGGGGCTAAAAGTCTATATAGTCCTAAAATTGAGAAGCTTTAAGGAAAGACGACAAAGTCTTCCATGGTGGGCCACGTGGTCAATGCCAACGACCTCTGTCAAAGGGTGACAACAGCCAGGCAGAAGAGCTTAGCCATCCGTTTTGCCCGGTCATAAATCCCTTTCAATGGCAGAGATCAGGTGATCCTGGGGCACTGGTCACATGACCCCCACCATCCCGTTATGACCCATTTTTAGTATTTTGTCCTTTTCTTATCGGACTGACGTGATTACGGATGCAGCAAAGTGATGTTGTACATATATGTCCACCTTTCAATAATCAGGAATGTGATCTATTGATTCATTTGTTACAATATATCGATGATTTGCTCTTCCCCAGCTATGGCGTATTGTGGATGAATTTGATGCCTGTTCCTCTCTGGATGAAATGTGTCTCTTCTAACCTAACCTTCTCCCTGTTGGTTTGTCTTGTAGACGCCGGCAACTCCAGGTGATGCCTTTATGAAATGCCCCACCCAGCTTCACCCCGCCATTGCCCCCATGTTCGGAACTCTCTCTTACAATCCAGTCGCTCTACCATCAGGTGAAAAAAGGCCCTTGTCACATTGTGGAAAGACACCATTAAATCACACACACACAGTAGGTTTATTAATCTTCTCGCCACCGCTGCGGGGGCCTTGTAGTCCTATCGGCTGACCGTCCCTCCAAGCAGCATGGTGGTGGCGGTAAGAGGGGGGAGGAGGAGGATAAACACCAGCATACAGTAATTGTTGGGTATTTCAAATATGGATTTCAGCGTAACTCTGGGGGAGATCCGCACTATATATATATATATCATGTATTCTGATCTCGATGCCATTATTTCATGAACACATCTGCTAGCCGGGGACAAGGATTTCACATTCCTGTTAAAGCTGAACTGCAGGCAGAAGAAAAGCGACAAATGAATCATCGAGGGCCCATCCACTCCATTGTGTGCCCAATGCCATGCGCCAACATGCGTTGTGTTACAGTGGCTGTAAACCCTTCCATATACCCAGTGAAGTGACCGGCCTCAGGTGATATGCAGAGATGAAACAAATCATCCTACATAAGTTGTAGCTGTTTACCTGCAGCCTTCTCTTCATCTGTTCAAAATGCTAAATTTTTAAAACTTGTCTGAAAGTTCAGAAAAAAAGGGGGGCGGAGAGCTGAAGTTACACTCTGCACATCTCATCGAGGAGAGTTCTGAGAGCTTTGGAGGAAGAGATACACCGCCCCTCCACACAAAGAGATGAAACAAATTCTCCTGCATAAGTTGCACCTGTTTATCTGCTTCTGTTCAAAAGTCCGAATTTTTAAAGCTTGTAAAGTTCAGAAAAAAAGGGGGCGGAGAGCTGAAGTTACACTCTGCAGATATCTCAGCGAGGAGAGTTCTGAGAGCTGATTGGAGGAAAGAGATACACCCCCCCCTCCACACAAAGAGATGAAACAAATCCTCCTGCATAAGTTGCACCTGTTTATCTCTTTGCACATCTCAGCGAGGAGAGTTCTGAGAGCTGATTGGAGGAAAGAGATACACCCCCCTCCACACAAAGAGATGAAACAAATGCTCCTGCATAAGTTGCACCTGTTTATCTCTTTGCACATCTCAGCGAGGAGAGTTCTGAGAGCTGATTGGAGGAAAGAGATACACCCCCTCCACACAAAGAGATGAAACAAATTCTCCTGCATAAGTTGCACCTGTTTATCTGAATCTGTTCAAAAGTCCGAATTTTTAAAGCTTGTAAAGTTCAGAAAAAAAGGGGGGTGGAGACCTGAAGTTACACTTTGCAAATCTCAGCGAGGAGAGTTCTGAGAGCTGATTGGAGGGAAGAGATATACCCCCCTCCACACAGAGAGATGAAACAAATCCTCCTGCATAAGTTGCACCTGTTTATCTCTTTGCAGATCTCAGCGAGGAGAGTTCTGAGAGCTGATTGGAGGAAAGAGATACACCCCCTCCACACAAAGAGATGAAACAAATTCTCCTGCATAAGTTGCACCTGTTTATCTGAATCTGTTCAAAAGTCCGAATTTTTAAAGCTTGTAAAGTTCAGAAAAAAAGGGGGGTGGAGAGCTGAAGTTACACTTTGCAAATCTCAGCGAGGAGAGTTCTGAGAGCTGATTGGAGGGAAGAGATACACCCCCCTCCACACAGAGAGATGAAACAAATCCTCCTGCATAAGTTGCACCTGTTTATCTCTTTGCAGATCTCAGCGAGGAGAGTTCTGAGAGCTGATTGGAGGAAAGAGATACACCCCCCTCCACACAAAGAGATGAAACAAATTCTCCTGCATAAGTTGCACCTGTTTATCTGCATCTGTTGAAAAGTCCGAATTTTTAAAGCTTGTAAAGTTCAGAAAAAAAGGGGGGCGGAGAGCTAAAGTTACACTCTGCAGATCTCAGCGAGGAGAGTTCTGAGAGCTGATTGGAGGAAGAAACAATGTAAACAAACTGTCATCAATGAATTTCAATTCATGAAAAGCTTGCTGACTGTTGTGATCTGTGATTGACCTACAGCAATCACATGGTACCTGACTTCAAATTTCATGTCTGAGGTTTACAACCACTTTAAGGCAGCCCATTCAAAAGGAATAGGACACCAGTGCACCAACAATAGTGCATGACACATATCTGTGCTGCAATGCATGTCCGTCAAAAAGGGTGCATTGGGCTGCCATTGAGAATGACAGGCACCAAGGCATGTAGTGACCATTGCCTTAGATGTGATGGCTGTATTAGTTTCCTTTTTTAGGTTTTCCTTCTTCTATTTTCATCTGATGATCCAGCCAGTAAGTCTGTTGTTTTTCGAAAGCCCAAGCTCTCCAGCAAATGTATCAGCTACAGAGATGAGACAAACCATTCACCACTGACATGGGCGCTTACAACGAACAGCTTTTATTAATTTATGCAAAACCCTTATCTCAAAAGGAATAAAAAAAAACATCTGTAACTGATTATAAACTGTGAGCTGGAGTTTGGCTTCAATGTGTTAGTGTATCTAAATCCGCTAATACATTTAACACTACCCTGCCTCCCAGACTGGCAATGCTCCTGTCTGATGTGCCTCCAGTGCTCCTTCACCCAGGGTGGGGGCACTCTAATACAGGAGGTGTGTTACTGGCCAGATCACTAGGTGAAAAGAGATAGGAAAAAAGCCTAAAAAAAGGGAAAACTAATGCAGCCACCACATCTAAGGATTGGTAAGCTGCAATATATGACATTTTTGGTTATGGGGTTCAGACTGGTGACAGGCTGCATCATAAATGTGATTTTTTTATTTTGCACAGGAGATGCTGTAATATAACACAGAGAGTGTGAACAGGGCCGGGACAAGGAGGGGGGCAGGAGGGGATGCTGCCCAAGGAGGAGGGGGGGGGCAGGAGGGGATGCTGCCCAAGGAGGAGGGGGGGGGGGCAGGAGGGGATGCTGCCCCGGGCGCCTGTAGTATGTAAGGTGGAGGTAGGGGGGCGCTGCTAGAGTTTCTTCCACTACAGTCTGCAATATATTACATTTTTTGTCTTTTTTTGTTTATTACCACTTTTAGGACTCGTTCACACAGGAGTACCATAGATCAGGGGTGGGCAACTGTGGCCCTCCAGCTGTTGTAGAACTACAAGTCCCATGAGGCATTGCAAAACGGACAGTTACAAGCATGACTCCCAAAGGCAGAGGCATGATGGGACTTGTAGTTCACCAACAGCTGGAGGGCCACAGTTGCCCACCCCTGCCATAGATCATCAGTGCGTCCCCTTGCAGGTGGCCCCATTCATGTCAACCAGCACCCACACGGCTGTCAAATTGAGGGGGTGAGGATGCATGAGCACCTGTGCATCCTCATGCAGGCAAATACAGCCTTCACATGGACCTACACTATAGTTTGCCCATGTGTGAACGAGGCCTTAAACCTCCTGAATGAATGTGTACATATCATGGGGCCCTCGGGCAATAGGGGATCATGGGGCCCCTGTGTCCTTGCCCAAACTCAAAAAAAGCCTATGAAAAAGGTACCAGGGGCATCTCATGGGGCCCCCTACTGACCCTGGGCCCTCGGGCAGTGCCCGAGTTTCCAAATGGTCAGTCCACCCCTGTTGCATATTGTAATTTGATTGGTAGCCTCTTGCAGGCCCTGTACAGCAGAGCTAGAAAGGGGGGAAGAAGCAGCACAAAGAGCCAGGCAGATATGTTGCGCTGCAAGCAGCATGCTGACAGAAGGAGAGAGGAGAGTGACAGAGAAATAAACTGCTTTAACTTTTCACTGTCTAATCACAGGCTGGTGGAGGGGGCTTTACCTGTAAATGTCATTGAATTGCAGCAGAGAAAAATCAGGTCTCTTCCCTCTGGGAAGAGGCAGGGCTGTGTAAATCTCAGAACTGGATGGACAGAATACACCTCCTTGGCAGGTGAAATAGCTCCTATATATATATATATATATATATATATATATATATTCCAAATGTTTGCCTGGAGTTCAGCTTTAAATCTTTCATTTGACACGGACATTCAGGGGTAAAGTTGGGGGGTAGAGGTTTATAAAATGTATTTCCTGTGATGTTTGTGATGTTTTTGCTTTTTTTTCAAAATTTGCATTCATTTTTAATATTTTATATTTTTTGAACGCTTTAATTTTCAGGCCTCCCTTTGGTTAAAGCTCCTTGGACTCTTCCACCATTTAGTTTTGCGCATTTTTACGAATGCGTTAAGAACATGAGATCATTGAGAGTTTTGACTGGAGTTAGGCTTTAAGTCAGTAAGGCTCCATTCACACTTATGCGACTTTTCATGCGACCTTGGGGTCCACAGTCGCATGACAAGTCCCCCCCCCCCCCCATGTTTCCTAATGGGCACCATTCATATCTGTGTGACTTCAAAGTAGTACCTGCACTACTTTGGTCCGACTTTCATACGACTTGAGGACCATAGACTTCAATGTAAACCCTCCACAGTCGCACCTGAATGTTGAACATTCGACTTGCATACGACTTTGTGTGCAGCAGAAACAATTATCCTTGGTCAAAGCCAAAGTCGCACTCATCCAAAGCCGCACTGTAAAGTCGCAATGAAAATCGCACAATTTTGAAGTCGCACAAGTGTGAATGGAGCCCTAATGTAGGTGTTGCATGTAATATAAAACACAAAGTGCAGCGCTAAAGTATAAATATAAATGGATATTGTAACGGGACCGGACCCCGACTGCGCCAAGCTATTTCCGTTAGTTTCCCTGTACGAACACAGATCCACGGACACCACCGCTCACCATACAGGACGAGACAGCACCAGGCTTCTTAAGACAGGAAGTAAAACTGCTTTCTTTTAACACAAACACAAGATATATATACAGGGCGGGGAAATACAACCAGGAACAGGAAACACATCAGCAGGCCGTCCCATCAGGGGGAAGGGCTGCCGGAAACACCCCCCACCAAACCAAGACACACAATAGAACAATGGAACATCCACATGGCAGTAGACAATACAGGAACACATACATCCCATAAAAGTTTGCTGGCAAGCAAGACACAATAGAACAATGGGACAACCAAGTGGCAGTAGACAATACAGGAACGCATACATCCCATAATAGTTTGCTGGCAAGCAAGACACAATAGAACAATGGGATGCAGCACCTGGCAGTGAACAATGAACAACCCCCACACCCCACCTATACATGTCCACACAATACTAGGACAGATCACCCCTAACAGGCACAGAGTGCCTTACACATTAGAGGAACATGGGGAGATGATACAGGGGTCCTCCCACCCCCAAAAGTCACTGTCGTCACAGATATAAACACCTGAAGCTCAAGTGTTAAAACCTTAAAATATAGGTGCACTCGATAAATAATGTCCAAACATAATATGCAATAAAAAGTTCAATTATGAGTAAAAGAAGGTATGATCAGGATGGTGACTCTAGGTGGTGACTCTAGCAATCCCAGTAGGCATATAATTCGGTGACGTGCTGGAAAACAGTAAAATTACACACTCACCAGATGCGCAATTAATATGCGCAATAATCACATCAAATACACCAGCGGTCCCCTCTATCCTGCAAAGGATGCCGCTTGGAATGGGTAAACTCTTCCCTGGGTATGGGCAGTGGGATGGCGCCTTTAGAGGTCTCCTTAATAGGTGGGCTGCGGTGGGGGTCAGCAATGGATCACTCTCCTCTGGGCCTTGGGATGGTTACCTGGAATCCTGGGGGATAAATGCTCGGTACGGAGCAAAGAATGGTGCCCATAGTGTAGTATGTCAAAATGATAGATGATTTTATTAATGAGCAAAAAATAAATAAAAGTATGACCACACATTCAATTTCTAATCCAAATTCAAAAATCCTTCGCCAATCAATATATGCTGTAGTATGCAATAGTATGTGCAGCATAAAAGCTGTTGTGAGCACTAACCAGCTGGTATGATCAGGATGGTGACTCTAGGTGGTGACTCTAGCAATCTCAGTAGGCATGTAATTCGGTGATGTGCAGGAAAATAGTAAAATTACGCACTCACCAGATGCGCAATAATCACATCAAATACACCAGAGGTCCCCTCTATCCTGGAAAGGATACCGCTTGGAATGGGTAAAACTCTCCCTGGGTCTGGGCAGTGGGATGGCGCCTTTAGAGGTCTCCTTAATAGGTGGGCTGCGGTGGGGTTCAGCAAAAGATTACTCACCTCTGGGCCTTGGGATGGTCACCTGGAGTCCTGGGGGATTAAATGCTGGTACGGAGCAAAGAATGGTGCCCATAGTGTAGTATGTCAAAATTATAGATGATTTTATTAAGGAGCAAAAAATAAATAAAGTATGACCACACATTCAATTTCTAATCCAAATTCAAAAAGCCTTTGCCAATCAACATATGCTGTAGTATGCAATAGTATGTGCAGCATAAAAGCTGTTGTGAGCACTAACCAGCTGGTATGATCAGGATGGTGACTCTTGGTGACTCTAGCAATCTCAGTAGGCATGTAATTCGGTGACGTGCAGGAAAATAGTAAAATTACGCACTCACCAGATGCGCAATAATCACATCAAATACACCAGAGGTCCCCTCTATCCTGGAAAGGATACCGCTTGGAATGGGTAAACTCTTCCCTGGGTAGGGCAGTGGGATGGCGCCTTTAGAGGTCTCCTTAATAGGTGGGCTGCGGTGGGGTTCAGCAAAAGATTACTCACCTCTGGGCCTTGGGATGGTCACCTGGAGTCCTGGGGGATTAAATGCTCGGTACGGAGCAAAGAATGGTGCCCATAGTGTAGTATGTCAAAATTATAGATGATTTTATTAACCACTTGCCCTCCAGAGGATTTACCCTCCTTAATGACCACGCCTCTTTTTGCTACTCGGCGCTGCACTAATTCAACTGATAATTGCGCGGTCATGCAATGCAGCACCCAAACGAAATTTACGTCCTTTTTTCACACAAATAGAGCTTTCTTTCAGTGGTATTTGATCACCTGTGCGCTTTTTATTTTTCACGCTATAAACAAAAAAAGGCCAAAAATTTTGAAGACAAACAATATTTTTTACTTTCAGCTATAAAAAATATATAGTAAACTCAAAGTTGGTTATAAATTTCTGCCAAAATGCATTCTGCGACATGTCTTTGCTAAAAAAAAAAAACCCAATACGTATAAATTAATTGGTTTACGTGAAAGTTATAGCGTTTACAAATGGCGGGAAAGATACTGGGATTTTGTTTTTTTATATACTAATAATGGCGGCGATCAGGCGATCCGATCAGCGACTTATGGCGGGACTGCTGCGGACATTCTGACATTGGGGGGTACTGTCTTGGGGTCACTGACATCCCCAGTGACACCAATACAGTGATCAGTGCAAAAAAAAAAAACCACTGACACTGTACTAATGGCACTGGGGAGGAAGGGGTTAACTTTATTTTCCAGGGAAGGGTTATCTGTTGTGAGGGGAGTGTTTTACTAGGGGGGAGTGTACTGGATGGGGACAGGCTAATCGGGAGAGAGAAACTCTTCTGTCCCGATCAGCTTGTACTCGAGCTGTCAGGGAAGTGACAGAAAGCACAGCGACTGCAGCTGTGCTCTCTGTCACTGATTGCCGCCGATCGCCGGGAGATAGCCAGTAAGGACCGGCTGTGACCCGGTGACTGACATCCGTGGCTGTGATCGGCGGGACAGGTAGGGCGGCGGCGCGCCTTGCGCGCGCCCCCTACCTGTTTACAAAACACACGTTTTAAAACGTGGTTTTGCCTGCCCGTGCCACCCTGCCAACGTATTTATACAGTGGCTGGGTGGCATGTGGTTAATGAGCAAAAAATAAATAAAAGTATGACCCACACATTCAATTTCTAATCCAAATTCAAAAAGCCTTCGCCAATCAACATATGCTGCGGTATGCAATAGTATGTGCAGCATAAAAGCTGTTGTGAGCACTAACCAGCTGGGTATATAAGATGGCCGTGATCCAGCGGCGTGACGTCACAGGCGTGTGTGGCTCCTCCTTTACGCGTTTCGTACACAATGTACATTATCAAAAGGGGTATTTTCAAGCCTGCTTCTTAAATATGGCGTTACCCAAAAGTCCTTTCTTCTTGGAGCATGAAGGGGCTCATTTACGAACATTCACTGGTCCACAGGTGCTCAGCCTCGGTGAAATAGCCCCCTTTTTCAGGAAGACATCAAGAAGAGCGATAATGAGTTTCCTCGGCTCGGTGCTACATTGGAACTCCCGGTTGTTTGCAGCTATAATTAGAGATGACTTGCAGCCAGTGGAGGAGACATGACATATAAGACACAACACTAAATCGGGCCTCGGGGGGGGTTCTGAGCATCAACACGTTACTGGGGGATAGGGAAAATCCATGGATAACCTTTGAGCAGACGCTTTAGTATCGATCCGCCTCCGGTGGCCAATGAAAAGGA